TGATGTCTTTTTTTTTTTTTTTTTTTAATGTCCTTTAAATCACTGTCAATGACCTCTGAGCTCCAGGAGAAAACTCTGCCATCAGAAAAATTAGTTTGGAGCAGAAAAAAGTTAGAGTCTTTAAAAAAGTGATGGATCTAGAGTTTGCTTTTAAAGGTGTTTTTTTTTTTTTAAGGATTTTATTTATTTATTTGACAGACAGATCACAAGTAGGCAGAGAGGCAGGCAGAGAGAGAGAGGAGGAAGCAGGCTCCCCGCTGAGCAGAGAGCCCAACACAGGGCTCGATCCCAGGACCCTGGGGTCATGACCTGAGCTGAAGGCAGAGGCTATAACCCACTGAGCCACCCAGGTGCCCCTTAAAGGTATTTTTTATTGCTAGGTCTGAGCAAAGAAGTCTGTTTTAGGATAAGCCAACGCCTTCTAGTCATGGATCCATCTAAGTCATCAAAGTCAGTAATCCAACACAGTAGTATTCCACCAAAAAACAATCTCAATCATTTCATCTGCTTTGTAGCCCCAGCATCTAGAATAGTGCCTGGTACCAGCAGGTGCTAAGTAAATATCTGCTGAATGAATTAGCTGTATTTCCAATTAGCTGTATTTCCCTGTATCTGCTCACAGTCACCTGCTGGAGAAGCTAACAGGAACCAAGAAGGAAACTGCCACTAGAGACCATGAATGAGAAAGCACTTTAGTGTGTAAATGCCAGTCAGGACTACAGGCATGTTTCACTAATATTACCCGCATGCATAAGTTTAAGGAGAGAAGAACAGCCCTGGAGTTAGACTGTGAGACTGTGCGAGTTTAAATTCTGGCACCACCTCTTGTCAGCTGTGACCCTGAGCAAGGTACTACACTGGGTCTCTCCACATCTAAACACACAAAAGGAAGTAATAGTATCCACTGCATATGAGAGTTGAAAGGATGAAATAACACAGTTACTGGGACACAGAAGTTCCTAATAAATATTAGTAATTATTCACTGTATTATTTTGATATAAACCCCCAGCTATTATCTCTTGGAAAAACACAAGATCATAGATCAGTTCACTTCTCTCCATGAAAAGATAGGACCATAAATGAAGATTAGGCAATCAAATGCATTCTTTTCCCTGAGGGATAAATGAAAAGAAAAAAATTAGCTCTTAAATCTGGATTTTGTTTTTTTACCCTTCCTCAATCTTTGTTTTGTTTTTTTTTTTTCTAAGATTTTATTTATTGATTGATAGAGACACAAAAAGAGAGGGAACACAAGCAGGGGGAGAGGGAGAAGCAGGCTTCCTGCCTAGCAGGGAGTCTGATGTGGGGCTCGACCCCAGAATCCTGGGATCAGATCCTGAGCCGAAGACAGACACTCAACGACTAAGCCACCCAGGCTCCCCAACAATCTTCATTTCTTTTCTTGCTTTTTCTTCTCACATATACAAAGAAACCTTTTCCCAAGCTCCTGTGGGCCTGGCTGAGCCACAGGCAGTGCTAGCTCCAGGAGACAGTTCTTATCTCTGGACTGCAAGACTTCTGCGGCGCTGGGTAGGACACTTAACCTCCCAGGGCCTCATTTCCATATCTGTATTACAGAGGAAGAGTACAGTGGTGGAATAGATTATCTTTAAATTCTCTCCCAAATCTAAAAATCTACAAATAGGGGGTGCCTGGCTGGCTCAGTTGGTAGAACATGCAACTCTTGATCTGGAGCTTGAGCCCCATGATAAATGATGATAAATAAACTTTAAAAAAAAAAAAGTCACAGAGCATCTGGGTGGCTCAGCCAGTTAAGCGTCCGACTCTTGATTTCAGCTCAGATCATGATCTCAGGGTCAGGAGATCAAGCCCTAGGTCGGGCTCCACACTAGGTGTACCATCTGCTTAAGACTCTCTCTTCCTCTGCCCATCCCCCTACCCTCTCACGTGCATGCACACATTCTCTCTCTCAAAATAAATAAAATCCTTAAAAATAAAAAATCACACTGCTTTCTTTGGTTCTTTGTGCCACCTAATGTCTCCCCATCACAGTATGTTTCTGTTGTAGAAAACAGGTGTAAGTTAAAATGACATAATAGGCTAACAACAGATACGGAAAGACATTTACAATACAAATTTCTGCTGAAAAGACAGATTACAAAATAATATGATCAGCAATATTAAACCCATTTTAGAAAAAACATATGCACACACCTACACACATATCTGACAGGGTATATTCTGAGTTACTTACAATTTTTCTTTAAAAAATTCTTTGCAAATCTATATTTTCTTATTTTTCTACAATGAACACTTACAGCTTCTGAAATAATAATTCAAATAGGTGTTTTTTATTTAGCAAGACAAATGGATCTGTCTTACAAACTCTAATCCAATACTTCCCTGAAGTGAAGCTCAGCACCTAGCGTTCCCTTGCATAGATGCACAATGTCCTTTGCACTGCTTGTCTGGGACTAAGCTGGGATGGTGATGCTGAGATGTTTCTAGAGGTAGTAACAGATGACTGGTACCACCAAGAATGACCCAGCTCTCTCCCTCCCATTCACCTCGATTTCCAGAGCCATTGGCTTCCACCTTACAAGCTCTACTGATTTGTAACCCTTTGGGCAGAGTTCAGAAAACATGACCAAAGGCCCTAAACTACAGTTCAGGATTTTAATGTGCACATTCACTGACACAGGATCAATGACAGATGTCAATCCTCTCTAATCACAAAGAAAAAATAAGCCATTGTCTTTAAAAGCATCCTCTTCAACTACTTTACCCAGTAAAGCGCTACTGTTTCTAACACGAAGTGCCGACTCTTGACAGACTCTGGCGTACTTAAGAAAACCACTGTTGAGCCTTCTAAGATCTGATCAGCCAAGAACAAGCTGATCACCAGGCACAGGTATCGCTGTACTGTAAGGCATGAAGACGGTTCTGGCAGCTCAGTGAGGTACCAGCAGAAAGGCGCCTGAGAAACCTTCAATTTCCCGGCTAACAAAAGCAAAGCACATACAGAGAAGTGACAAGAAGACATACACCAAACGCAGTAAAGATGAAAGCAATATGAAGCAATCCAGAAAAGTGTTCTGAGGAACTCCTCCTACTGAGTGAGCCAAGAGGTTGTCAGACTCAGTATTCTCAGAGGTACATAAGCTACACCTCAAAGCTGTTCACGTGGAAGTTTCCAAAGGCTATACATTTAAAAACAAACTGCTTCCTCACCCCGCTCATACCCTTATCTTTTAAGAACTATAAGCAATTTAGGTCAGAGCCCTTCCCTCAGTTCAAAATATTTTTAGAGACAGATTACAACAAAGAAACATAGTGCCTACACAGCACTATTTCATTGCAAGAAAACAAAACTGCCAACTATAAGGATGCGAAAAATGTGACCCTTTTGGGACTGAACCACTCCCCTTCCCTAATTATCCCTCAAAGGAAATATATCAGGCACTGTGGGCAAAGAGGAAAAACATGCCTAATTACAACATGTGCACTTGGTGGATGAAAAATTTGAACATTCTTGAACTCTGGCCACATTTCGGAAGACTTTCCATTTGTAGTTTAATCTCCCTGAACAGGAAAGGTTAAAGATCAGTTGTACTTCAGCAAGGGCTCAATCAAAAAAGACACAAAGAGAAACTGACATTACTAACCCCCAAGACAAGGGAAGCCTGTTGAAAATTCAAGATGACCCTGCCTCCTTATCAGGGATCTAAGGAGGAAGTGGTTTTTATTTTCAAATTAGGACTAAAAATAAAACCCATTACAAGAGTATTCTCAACTAGTGAAAACACACACATTGTGAACTTGAAGATGCATGTATGAAGGCTTCAAGCCTCAGGTGGTCTTACAGAAACAGTCCCTGATCAAGACTGGGAAGGCAGCTGAAGACACTGAGTTTGACAGTGCTCCTGCACATTGCTGCTTAAACTACTGGGGACAGGAGCAGGAAAAACCTTCAGGAATCCAAAATAAGAATGCATCTCATTAGGCATCTGGATTGGGAACTATTGCTCAAGAAGTCCTCGCGATGGCCTACAAGCTATAACCTCTCCAACCTGGTTTCCTACGACTCTTGCCCTCACCTACTAGGCTTCTTCATGTTCTTCCAACACTCCAGACTTCCTTCCACCAGCCCTACTCTTTCCTCAGACCCCAAACATCCTTCAAGTTTGCTCAAGCGCCACTGTGGCAAAGAGGAAAATGGTGCCTTTCCTTTTCCCCTGATATTCAGCACCTTCTAATATAACCATGTCATTTACTTATGTTTATTTTATGTTTATTTTACTTATTGTTTACTCCTTTCTCCCTCAAATACGCGCCAGGAGAGCAGGGATCTTTTGTTCACTGATGTATATTCCAAGAGTTCAGAACAGTGTAGGAGCTCAAAAAAATATTTTCTGAATGAATGAACTTGACCGTAAAACTCCAGGAGGAAGGCAAGAGGGGATGAAATGAAAGGGGGAAGAAATGACAGAGGGGAATTCACAAGGAAGGGAGAGAGCCGCACTGCCTGCTGATGGGAGGCGGGAGGCAGTAGACGGTATCCCGCCAGCGGCATCAAACGGCACCTTTACAAGCACGCAGCTGAGACAGGCGAGCTCTGAAGACTCAACTGAGAAATTCCAAGGGCAGGGCAGACCCACCCAGGCGGCGGACTCTGGGCAGGTCCCTACCGGGGCCCAGAGCACGCAGCCCTTCCGCTCCCGCGGTGCCCGGGACCCCAGCTCCACGCCAAGGCAGGCAGGGGCGGCAGGGGCCGCAGCACCTTCCCGGCTTGGGCCCCTTCATCTGGCCGCTGGCGACGGGGCCCGACTCTCGGGCACCTGCCTGCCCGCGCTGGAGGTCCCCATCTCAGCCCGCGCGAGATCCCAACGCGCCCCCCGAGGGCTTCACCCCGCCCGGCTTCCCTCCCGCACACGCACAGGAAGCGCCCGCGGCCCTCCCCGCAGCGGGAAGGGGGCTCCCGGCGCCCCTCGCCCCGGCAGCTCCAGCCCGACGCCCCGCCCGCGCGGCGCCCCCTCACCTCAGGGCGCACGTACGACACGAAAGAGGGCTTGGGCGCCTTGGTGCCGCCGCCACCGCCGACTACCCCTTTCCCCAGCATACCGCCGCCCTAGGAAGCAGCGACGCGAGGGAGCAGAGGCGGCCGCTCGGGATCGGCAGCGGCGGCGGCCACCAGCACTGGCGGCTGGGGCTCCGCCCATCCCCAGGGCCGCAGCGGCCGCGGCGACGCCCGCATCCGGCTCCGCCGCTGACACCGCTCGCCCCGCCCACTCCGTGCGCGGGCCCAGGGAGTCGGGAGCCCGTGGCCTGAGGCCACGCCCCCTCCACTCGCGGCTGGGATCCGATGGGCAGAGATTCGTCTTCGGAGATAGGCTCCGCTCCGGCAAAGCCCGCCTCATGCGTCCTCTGATTGGGCAGAAGGCGCTGCCGGCCTAGCCCCACGCCAAGCTACTTCTTGAATGAACCTGGAGAGATGTTTCCTCTGGCCAATCCAGAGAGTGTTCTTTCCGGACTCTCCAGCGATTGGAGAGCAAGAATGTCGCTGTCGTCCAACGATCCTACGGTCACCAAGTTGTGTGGTTCATTGCTTGTGTGGTTCTCTTCCCCTGCTTGCCTTTTTGGTTTAAAACTTTGAAAAGTGTGGTGTATCGGAACCCGCTGTATGAGTTCCAGATCCACACTGATGACGTCCAGGTTTATTACTTTAAATGTAGGCAAGGATGAGACAAATCATTTTTAACAGACGCTTAGGAATAAGTTTGAATGATCATAAAAGGCCTGTCGACCTCATTTTCCCGCTGTTTTTTCGTTTCTTTGTGTTATAACAGAATAGCAAAAGCCCTTAAGAGACTTACTTTATCCACTTTCTTAAGTTACCGATAAAATCCTCATTTTTAGCTAAAGTTGCAAAGAAAATTCATTTTAATTTCACAGTTGGTGCCAAGCATTGTGTTAGACACAAGTGAGGAAGACAGGACCCGCTCTCAAGAAAGTGAGTCTAGTGTTAAAGACGAATAAATACATGCAGTTCATTTTTTCGGTGTCAAGCACTGCGACTAATGCTTTTTACCCTCTTCATCTCCATGAGCGTCCTTCCCAAAGCCACTCCACGTAAACATAAAATCTAAGTGAAAACGAATGTGCTTACTTTTGCAAACAGTTTCAGGACAAGTCCTGTAGCTGCGTTTCCAGTTCGGTTGCCCTCATCAAGCCTATCAGTATGGCGGGCCTGGACCCCCAGTAGAGTAGAATTATCCTGGTTTTCAGGTGAGACAATAGATGCAAGGAATTCGGCAGGGTCTCACAACTAGTCACTGAGGGAGCTAGGATTCCAACCCAGGTTTGTCGGATTCCAAAGCCCCAGTTCTTAACATCGTGATTATGCAAATTAGGAAGGAGCACAAAAACCGTTCAATTCTATTTGAGAAGGCCAAGTCAGGTTCCATAAAGAAAGACATTCTTCAGGGAGGTGTTGAGGAGCGAAGTTATTTGTTCAGACTAAAATATCACTCTCTTTCACAGCAGCTGTTACTTTCAAAGTGAAATGACAGGAGAAATTTTTACTTTCTTACTTTTCAAAGGACTTTGAATTTCTATGGTTTTCCGCCATAGTATGTTAGTTTGGGTACCTAGAGCCAGGGTTGGCTTTTTGGACATGCAACTGGTGCAGTCACCCAGGGCTGGCACTTAGAAGTATTTGGGGTTTAATGCTCTGCAGTTGCAACCTTGAATTTCTTAATCATTTCATCTTGAATTTATGGTTATCTTTTTTAAAGATTTTATTTATTTATTTGAGAGAGAATGAGTGAGAGAGAGCATGAGAGAGGAGAAGGTCAGAGGGAGAAGCAGACTCCCCAAGGAGCTGGGAGCCCGATGCGGGACTCGATCCTGAAAGTCCGGGATCATGACCTGAGCCGAAGGCAGTCGCTCAACCAACTGAGCCACCCAGGGGCCCTCGAATTTATGTTTTTTTAAGTGAAATTTGATGGGCCGATGGAGCAAGCCCAGGGGTCTTGGGGCCTCATCTCCTACACAGTCCTGCCTCCCGTATTCTCCCCTACTTCTTCCCCGGTGCTCATTCCCCTGGCACCTTGCCAGCCCCCCAAGCCAATCCCATGACTGCTGCCCACTCTATTGGGGCAGCAACCTCACTGCTAGGAAGGAGTGAGAAGGGAATCTTGCACACCACGGCCATCCACCTCTCACCCCCATGGGTGCCTGGACACCGACTAGGAGATGATTAGGGTCAGGCACAGCCCCCCACCCCACCTCTTCCTATGTCCCTGGGTGGTGTATACAACCATCCTTGCTGGAGACTGGAAGTGCCATGGCTACTAGTGGGAATCTCTTGCCCATCTCCATGCAGATACCAAATGTGGCCAGGCACAGCAGTTCTAATTCCTTGGGGATCGCTCACGCACTGTGGGAATAGTAGCTGATTTCCCTGTCCCTGGCCAGAACCCCACATTTCCATCTGGCATTGAGCTCTGTAAATTATGTAGCTGGCCCTGCCCATGCCCTTTATGATCTCTGTCTTTGAGCAAGGTATTTGTCTCAGTGCCTCTGTTTCTACATAGGGTGATGACAATGGCAGTGATAATTATCTCAAGGGTGTTGGGGTTGTTCTGAAGCCTGAAGATGATCCAGGTGATGCCCAGTAAGCAACAAGAACTGAAAAGGTGACAGCTGTCTTGGTACAATCCTACCAAGCAGGACATAATTTAGCCTCTCTCCCCCACCCCAGACTGTAGAAGGAGAAGCAAAGTGACTTCTCCCAATAACCAACTGTGGGACTTTGTATAACAAAGAGGTTTTGGTTTTTGCTTGTTTGTTTTTGTTTTTAATTTCTAGTCCAGTCCTGGGACTAGAAATAACAGCTTTTATTTTTAATCAACTACACGAAGTTTCCCACTCTTCAAGCCATCCCATGTTATGACAATTACTTTATCCTACTCTTCAGCATCCATTTATGGTCAAATTGGTTTGCAGTGTGATAATGCTGGACACTGGACACAACCACTGCATTCATACACCTTTCCTTGCTAGCCAATACAGCAAGCAAGGAAAGGTTTTAGAGAGTGGAAAGGCTGGCTGCCTCCAGAAGCACTTTAGACTCAATGATGAAAATCCACACTTTTTTTTTTTTTTTTTTTTTTTTGAGTAGGATCTACGCCCAATATGGGGTTTGAACTCATGGCCCTGAGATCAAGAGTCACATGCTCCACTGACTGAGCCAGCCACGTGCCTCATAAACAACAACAGAAAACAGGCTTTCTTTAAGAAGCAGTAAGAAAATATATAGAGAAATATATGGAGTAAGAAAATATACAGAGAATATAAACTACCATCTGTTTCCATCTTGTTCTTAAGGTTTTCCAGCTATCAGCATATTTTTACTTAATCTTTAGGGTGTGGGTCAGATCTCCTTGGGAGAGCCTCTCCCAACTGATTGAAAAATTCCTGTCATGCTGAGGTCAAATAATTCTCCATCTATTAATAAACACAGATGGAAGCCCTTAGACCTTGAAATATTTTAATTTACACACAGTAGTTTAAAGTCACTCTTTTGTCCTAATGCTGCCCTGAGCCTACTTGGAGAATTATAAATAGGAACAAATCTTAGTTCACATAGAAACAAGTTCCCGACCAAAGGCAGTGCTTCCCACAGACAAGTGAAACCTACAGCGTACTCTGAAAAAGGGGGGTTACCTCTGGTGGATGGTTGGGCCTAGCCTAGCCACATTTGCATTTCCTCTTCTTTGGAGTCACTGGAAGCAGCCTGTCCTTGCGTCTTACTCATCTTTATCTCGTGCAGGTGCACAGTAGGAGTTCACTCAATATTGCCACGAGCTGAGTGAAATGTAATCAGATGAAAAGCATCCCAGGCAGCAACTGATTCTTAGGTGGGGGGAAGCAAGAGTTCAAATAGATATCATATTTTACATATTATGCTATATTGCATATATACAATATCCAAGGACTAAGAGGCACGTGTTATTGAATGGCCACTTGCCCAACTTCAGTTTTAGCAAATGGTCTGGATCCGAAGATTTACCCTCTTCTTTCACCTAAAATAGAAAATTCCTTAGCCTCTTGCTGCAGTCAGGGCTCTTTCAACCTTCCTGTGAGGTTGGTGAGTAACAGAGCTGGATCAAGAAGCATTTGGATCGTTCTCAATCTACAATATGAGGGCCTGCTAGGGAGACTCAGAAATTGTAAACAAGGACGTTCTGGTAATTTCTTCCCCCACAAAACATGTAACTTAAGATGGTCACGTGGTAGGGGTTCTTGATGAGCCTACTCTATTATCTGATTCTCATCAGAACACAAGGTCATGGCCTGATTGGTTTTTCATTAATAAAGATTTACTGGGGCACCTGGGTGGCTCAGTGGGTTAAGCCTCTGCCTTCGGCTCAGGTCATGATCCCGGGGTCCTGGGATCGAGCCTCACATCTGGCTCTCTGCTCAGCGGGGAGCCTGCTTCCTCCTCTCTCTCTCTCTGCCTGCCTCTCTGCCTACTTGTGATATCTCTCTCTCTCTTTGTCAAATAAATAAATAAAATCTTTAAAAAAAAAAAAAAAGATTTACTAATGGCTCATTCTGACTTGTCTCCCAGCCTCTCCCAATAAGACTGGAAGTTAAAAAATAAAGGTGGGGCGGGGGGACCTGGGTGGCTCAGTAAGTTAAGTGTCAGGCTCTTGATCTCAGCTCAGTCTTGATCTCAAGGTCATGAGTTTTCCCAGCATTGGGCTCCATCCTCCTGGTGGAGCCAAATAAATAAATAAATAAATAAGATCCAAAGTTCCCTAGGGCATGCATAGTTTCCTTTATAACTAGCATTTAACCATGAATTGGATGCTACAATATTGAGTAAGACTTTAGTGAGGAGGGGAGAAACAAAGATTCTCATCCATTAAGGGGTGAGGGGAGGATGGGGGTAAATTGATGGGGCAATAAAGAGGGCAACTTTGCAATATCCATCAAAAACTGTATCAATAATTTCACTTCTGAAACATACAGTTTCATACATACATTTCTATATGCAACTTATAGATACACCCATACATGTGTGAAATGCCATGTGCCCAAGCCTACTCATTGTAGCAACTTTGTAACAGTGGAAGTTTGGAAAATTCTAAATGTTCATCAGCAGGGATAGGTTGAATAAATTAAGGCACAGCTATAGAGTGGGATACTATGGAACTGTAAAAAAGAATGAAAAAGTTTTTAAGTGGAGGCTATAA